GGTTAAAGCACAGCACTAAGAAGCTTAAGCCACTTCCGCATGAGTTCTATCCCTGCCTGCCCCGGAGGTGACCACATGGCGCTGCAGACCTCTCCTGACCCGCCCGCTGCTCCCCTCAGCAGTGGACTTCCTCATTCGGCCTGTTCTGCTCCCCAATCTGTCTCTGGTAAACCCTCTCACTGCACCTCTGGCCTGTACCCCAGTTCTGTATGCATAAATAAATAATTTTAAATTTAAAAAAATGACATAATATTCATGGTTTCAAGCTTTTCTCTATAATTAAAACATTCTCCTTCCAAAAATTCATAAATTTAAATACTTAGTTTTCAATGAAGAGATATAATGGGCCTTCCAAAAATAACATTACTGAATCTATGCATATCATTTTATAGTAAAAAATAGATCACTCGTCGGGGCTAATCTTATTAGTCACGTGCCTTTTAACACCTCACACACCTGAATTACTCCTCTACATTAACTCGTCCTTTGTTATGTTTGTATACAGGAGTCAGCGTCTCACCAAACGACTTTCCTGTGGAAACCCCCATCCCCTTAAGCCTCTCCCACGACATCTGCAGCCCCACGTAAGCATGCTCCATGGGTTTTTTTTTAAAGAACTACTTATCGATGCACACCAAACTGGGGTGCAGGCGGGAGGTGCAGCGTTCTGCAGCTTTCCCTGTCCGCTGCGACCTGCTTTTTCTGCCCGTGTGCTGGCCTGCGGGTTAAACTAGGAACGCTCTTTAAGGCCTCGAGGAAGTAGCATCTGGTTTTCCTAATGATTCTGGAGCAGCGACCCTTCCAAGGGGACACAGACAGTGCACCTTCAGTGGTTGCTCCTTCAGTGGTGGCCACTTTGGGACCGTTCCTAGGAGTAGGAAGAAGAAACAAGTCTGTAAAGTAGCATCATCCGCCTTTGCTGGGACTTGAGCTGAGCGCTGATGACTTAGGGACTTGATAGGAGCCTGGGAGGTGCCCACCCTTTGGCCATTTGCTACCCGGACAGAATCAAAGAGCCTGTTTCCTGACTGACAGGACCAGGCCTGCGAGGCAGAGAGGGCTTCAGAGTTCAGACTGAATTTCGGGGCCTCGGGACCGGCCAGTGGGAGCGGGCGGGAGGTGTCACGAAGCGGCGTCTGCAGGAAGGAACTCCGCGAGGGCCAGGGCGCCTCTGCACAGTGCTGCAGTCAGGTGGAAAGTAAAAGAGGGTCTGAGCGTGGGGCCAGCCGGCTGGTGCGCGGGTCTGAAGCTGCAGATTTCTCTAGTTGCCGTAGTTAGCGCATTGTTTCCCATGACGCTCTCTTTGTTTCTTGGCGAAGAGTTCATGTGAATACTCAAAGCAGACCTGGTTATACCATCTCAGTATTTCCTTGGGTAGAAAAAAACCAACATTTTCTCATTTTCCGACCCCCCCCCCAGAGATGTGAACAATCTCCCACAGTATGCGGACCCTCCCTGCCCTCCCAGGCTTCCTGCCGGGCCTGCGGGGCCTGAAGAAGATAAAGGTGAGACAGACGCAGCCAGGTGTCACCACCAGGCGTCCAGCCTTGCACCGCTCAGGAGCCTGAGGACACGGGCCGGCGGGCGGGCGGGAGGGGCCGTGCTGGCCACGTGTGTCAGGGCCCCTGGAATCGGCTCCTCTGCTGTGGTTCGCCTCCCAGCCTGCAGTGCGAGGAGAACCAGGCAGTCCGGGTGGGGCTCTGGTGCCTTTTCCTGCTTCTGCCCTGGCCTCTGCTTCTGCCCTGGCCTCTTCTTCCTCCCTGTTTCCCTTGCCACAGAGCCCTGCTGCCCTGGGGGCTTGTGAGCAACAGCTGGGCGCAGCCCTCAGGCCACAGCCTGCTGCTGAGAGCTGAGGGCAGCTTGGGAGTGCTTGGTCTGTTCAGAATCTCCCAGCGGCTTCCTGTCTGACCAGTAGAGGCCTGTCCTGAAGGGGTTCACAGGCTCAGACCTCTCTGGATCCCGGCCAGCTCTCTGGCTCCCCCACACCCTAATGGCCACACCATTGTCCTTGCTGTTCTGGCCTCATTGGGTGCCCTCCCGCTCCCAGGCCTGTGCAGTGACCACTGTCCCCAGCACTAAGCAAACCCCGTGCACCCCACCCCACTGGGGGTTCTCTCTCACCTCACTCACCTCTGCGTCTGACCACTGTCCCTCCAGGAGGCCTCCCATGCCCACTTAAAATCGCCGTTTGTGTCACAGCACATAGACCACCGCTGCCTCTCGCTGGCTTGTTTCTCCCCGTCGCTTCCCGCTGTGGCTTCCTTGAGTCTGCCCGGCCTGGGGGCCTGGGCCTTGTGTTCTGTCCATCACGCAGCGGTCCCACCCTCTGAGGCGAAGGCAGAGATGGCCTGAGCTTCCTCCTGACATCCTGGGCGGGTGTCAAGGGTTGGCTGGCATGGGTGGCCGGGACTGTTTCCTGGGAGGAGGGAGCTGGGTCCCGCAGGAGGAAAGCAGAGGCCGTGAGCCTTGTTCTGTCCACCCCAGGCCTGTACCCGTCCGGAGAGCTGTGGCCCACCCAGCCCATGTGTGTGACAAACGGCTTCAACTGCACCCTGGACACCAGCGCGCCGGGCGTGGTGCAGGGCCCCGCCCCGGTGCCCAGCAGGTACGGGCTCCTCCACCCCCATCCCGTCCTGCGCAGCCCCCAGGCTTGGGTCTTTACAGTGAGCCGCCAGGCTTCCTCCCCGGGAGCCTCTCTCAGGTGTGTTCCCACCTCCCCTTTGGAGGTGTGCTGTGATGTCTTTGCAAATAACAAAGCAGGCGCGTGAACGGCTGTGAAAGTGATCTCGGGGGTGACCACGACCCGCCTTTCCCCTTTACACTTACACGAGGTGAGCTAGGAATGAGGCAAAGTTGAAAACAGGTCCCAGTTCCTGCCCCTAGCCAAGCGATGATTTTCATTCCTCCGTGGCACTAATTGGGACGCATTAAAGTTGCAGAATTAGACTAGTGAAAATCTGTCACCTGTGGCCATTTCTAAAATTGCTGTTGGACAGTCACATGCCAGGCTGTAGAGCTGGAGGAAATGTCACTGTCTGCGTTTATCTCCATTTGAACTTTGGTTTTGTTTATGGGGTTTTGGGCCATAGATGTTCACGCTCCTGTTTCTGGCGTGAGGATGCAGGTTGCCACAGTGATCACTGTCCATCTTGAGTCAGAGTCTCGATAGCACCGACGTACCCACGGCGGCTGCTGCCTCAGCTCAGTGGCGGGGCGCGTTGCGTCGTTCAGGCGTGTGCTGGGCACAGGCGGGTGGCCTGGGCCTCCTTTCCCAGGGCCTGCCATGCTGCAGCCCTGGAGTCAGCTCCCAGCTCGGCCTCCCCGGCGTGGCCATAGCGAAAGCCTGCTCCTCGTCCCGGTCCTGAGTCTAGAGAGGGCGCAGTTTGTATTTTCCAAAGTTGAGGATTTAGCCATGACCTGGGTGGTAAAACCATTTCTCTCGATCTGATCTGCTGGCTCCGCTTCTGAAACTCTGTGTTTTGGTAGCAGTTTCGTTGACTGGAACACAACCTGCGAAGGCCAGTTCCCCAACATGTACAGCCCGCTGGACATGAATGATTACAACGCCTTTCCAGAAGGTAAAAGCCACTCCGCCCCCCCAGTGCCTCCTTGGCTTCTCAGAGAGCCAGAGCAAGGCGGTGCGTGCCCAAAAGGTGCCCTTCAACAGCAACGCCCTTGAAATGACCTACCTGCAGGGTGGGTGCACTCAAGAAGCTGGGTGTCTGTAGGCTTCAGTCAATAAACTGAACCATCTATCAGAGGAGGCAGAACTGAGTCCTTCAGACTTCCCTGGAACCCTCGTTGTGGCTTACCCACTGGGAAGCTGAGGCTTTAGCTGTTGGCTGTTCTTTTCAATAAACCAAGTCGTAGGTGAAAGAGAAACCTTTAAGTACTTTTTCCTCACCATATCCTGACTTTTCCATCCCTGGGAGGGGTTGCAGCACAGAAAGGAGTTTGAGGGGGAATTGTGGGAAATTGCAGTTATGTCGGTAACGACAGCTCGGAGGTTGCCCTGATGAGCTGGCCTGATGGTGCTTTTTCACGCTAGAGCTGCCTTTTCAGGGGAAAATGGGAGCCCACCTGCTCCCTAGGCTGTGCTTGCTGGATGTTGACACGTGCATTGCTGTCTGCTAGCCACAAGGGGGTGCTGTGGTAACTGCCTTCCTGGGCTTCCAGCCGAGTGTTTATGATCTTACCCAAGAGTGTGCTTTCCTCTGGCTTATGTCAGTCCTTTCACTGGCTGGGGTTGTTGCGACAGATCATAAAAGAAAACCGATAAGAATCCTGTCAGTATTCAAATCTGTTAATAGTATCCACGGCTGTAAGAGTTCGTTGGTGTATTCTCTGTGTTGGAAAGCTTCCCATACAGACCAAATACAGAAAATCAAGCCCAACGTCTTCCCAGGTGTGGTGCTTTTGATAAGCAGCTTTAACTTCGAGAGTGACAGTGGATCAGCCTTCCTGGCCACCCTGAATGAATGTTCTGCGTCTGTCTTTAGCTCGTCAGTAGATAGGAAGGCTGTAAGGACTCTTTGGCTCAAGAACGAGGGTTCAGTTCTCGTCATAAAAACGGTGACCTATGTTGACATCTCCATTCCTAGAGAACATGAATTACGCCCACGGCTTCCCCTGTCCAGCGGAAGTGCAGACAGACTTCGCAGAGCATGCCTGGAGCGCCCCTGCCAGCCTGCCGGCCGCCTGGGGCCACGCGGGGCTCATCAGCAATCCGGTCAGTGCTGGCCCCGCACCCCGAGTTCTTCCTGAGGCTTCTTTAATCCTGGTCTTGTAGCTGTACAGTTGGTTCACATCAGCCAGACCCCAGCTTGTCTCCTTTAGCTCGCAGATGCCAGACACCCCTCAAGAGCAGCCTGGCTCATCACCAGACAGGTGGGCTCGGGGCCACTGACCGTGCACTGACCATGTGGCCACCACCAAGGAAGGCGATGGCCGCTCCACCAGGAGTGAGCGGTGGTGGATCAGATTGAGTCGGGGCTGGGAAGGCCTCGGAGCTTTAAGCAAGAGATGAAAGTCCAAGGAAGGTCAGCGGTGGTAGGCGAGGGCCCCCGCGCCCCCGCTCCCAAACCCGGCTTAAAAGCCTGACGCTTTGACACCTGTTCAACTCTGTTGTTTATGTGAAAGACATTTGACCTGAGGGTCCTTTCTGAGTTTGAAAATAAATCTATCCAATTAGATGTCACAGCATTAATTTGAAAGAAATGGAGTTAAAGCCACGCGGGGGGTGAGAATAAGCTGTCCAGCCCTCGGTGGTACCTAAGGTTACGCTTACAGAACTGGGGTACAGGCCAGAGGTGTGGTGGGTGAGAGGATTCACCAGAGAGAGTGGGGAGCGGGACAGGCAGATGGACTGAAATGCACTGCGGAGGGGAGCAGCGGGCGGGTCGGGACAGGTCTGCGCGCCCTGTGGGTCATCTCTGGGGCGGTGCTGTGACAGCCTCGTAGTGCTGCGCTTTAACCCGTTGCGCCACCAGGGAGAGCTGAAGCTTCCTTTTAACGCTTCTTTCCCCACTCGTTTGCACTACAGCCCTACCTCACAAGCACCCGGAGCTTGTCCCCAATGTCTGGACTTTTTGGTTCCATCTGGGCCCCCCAAAGTGACGTGTATGAAGGTTGCTGCCCCGTCAGCCCCAGCACGGAGCACTCGACGCACATGGAGAGCCAGGCGGTGATGTGCAAGGAGTACTACCCAGGCTTCAACCCGTTTCGTGCCTACATGGACCTGGACATATGGACTAGCCCAGCCGACCGGGGCGCCGGCTTCCCGCTGTCCAGGGACTCCAGCTACTGTGGGAACGTGTGAAAAGAATTCGATTTTTAAACAATGTGAATAAAGAGGCTTGTGGTTTGACGACTAGCGTAAACTGATTGTTGAGGTAGATGATGACATTGGTGGATATTTTGGCACTTTTATATGGAAATAAATCTTTTTTTACAAAACCTAGGTGCGAATGCTTTTTTCCCCCCAACCTTCACAGCAGCGCTAGAAATGAAGCTCCCTTGTGCCGAGACGTCATCCTTCGAGAAATGTGTCAGGCACACCAAGTGCTTTCAGTCCGCACAGGGAGGCCGCCGAGAAGGAAAGGAAGGGAAGAAGCAGCGGCTGTGGTGCTCTCGCCGGGAGCTGGAAGCCCCAGACCTCGCAGAAGATGAAGTCGGTCCGGCCGCAGCCGGCAGACGCCGGCCAGGGCGTTTGCTCCCGTGCGGGCTGTTGGCTGGGACAGAGGCTGTGCCTGGCCGCCCGTCTAGGTGAGTCCTGCTCGGGGCGGAGGTCGAGCCGTCCAGGCCTGGAGGCGGGGCGTGGGGCCAGTGCCTCGTGCTGGCCTGCCTGTCCACTGGTAGCCAGGCCTGTGGCTCTGTCAGTTGGACCTCTGGTAAGTGGTCTCCTTCTGGGTGAGCAGCCTAGTCTGGACCCAGGCCGCCCAGTGCCGGTCTGCCGGACGCTGCCTCTGCTTGCCACTGGTTTCAGAAGTCCCTGTGCTGGTGGGATGATCTGTTTGCATGTGTAAACCTGGAAACACTTTCAAAGTTATTTTTTTTTTTTTAAAGATTTATTTATTTGTGCATACAGAACTGGGGTACAGGCCAGAGGTGCAGGGGCGGTGAGAAGACTTACCAGAGACAGAGCGGGGAGCAGAACAGGCAGATGGACGAAGTCCACTGCTGAGGGGAGCAGCGGGCGGGTCAGGAGAGGTCTGCTGCGCCATGTGGTCACCTCCGAGGCTGGCGGGGGTTGAACTCATGCTGAATTGGCTTTAGCTTCTTAGTGCTGTGCTTTAACCCATTGTGCCACCAGAGAGGGCCCACTTTATCACTTTTAATAAAATGTCTAATTTTTTACCTTTTGATTAATATTTATTGGGAGATTAGTAGAGAGATTATGAAGTGAGTCTGGGTTTGCTTGCATTGAATTGAGTTTCTCTGCACAGGGGTCAGGGATCAGGAGGGCTAGAGTATTGTAAATCCTCTTTGTAGTTCCTTTGTGCATCTCCAAACATGCACATTTTCTGGAAACTTCTGAGTGCTGTTAGAATCCTGATTTGAGTGGCGTGAGCCTCATCCTCTAATTCTGAGCAATGTTAAAAAAAATAACTTAGGTCCTAGGTATGTGCTCCAAAAACATTGAAAGCAGAGACACAGATATCTGCAGGAACATGTTCATGGCAGCGGTGTTCAGAATAGAATCTGAGTCCAGGTGTTCTGGACACAGGAGTGAGAATCCAGTGTGGCAGAGACACAGAGGTTAATTCCAGCCTGAGGAAGGCAGTTCCCATGCACCTCGTGACATGGATGCTGGGAAAACTTGCTAAGTGAAATGAGCCCGTCACAAAAAGATGCGTGTTGTGTGATTCCACTTTATGAGGCCCCTGAGTTTCCAAATTCAGAGGGGAAATGGCTGGTAGCAGGGAGTTAGTGTTGAAAGCATGAAGAGTTTGTTTGAAACATAAGATGGATGATTTTTATCAGAGTGACAGGGCCTTAGACAACTTCTGTGCTTTGTTTTGTCTATTTTACCACATAACATAATTTAGGCCGATGAAAAAACCCCTAAAACATTTTCAATGTCTGAAATTTTCCCACTGGAGAGAGTGTGACACTGGATGGGCCTTCCTCTCAGTACAGTTGTTGATCCAATTTCCCTATTCTGCTATATACAAAAGATGCCGAATATCTTTAGCTCTAAGTCTGAAATCAGTGAAAAGAGGTTTTATTCATTTTAAAATGGGGACCGCCTCCTGGACTGGCCCTCTTCCCCAGGCCATGATACTGCTCTTCTGGCAAGAGGTTGTTCTCTTGGGGTCCCAGCAAGGGCCACAGCATAAAGAAGGGAGGCCTGGGAGGTAGGCAGAGGGAGCCCCCCAGCCCACGTACGCCACAGCGCTTTGACTTGGGAAGTCATTTACCACAGATGTCCAGGTAAGAAGCTCTGCTCTCAGGATTATGTTAATACTAGGCGGAAACAGAATCCTTAGTCAGGAGAGAGGAGACCACCAGTCCCGCCTCCAGGAGCTTTGATTAGAATGATGCACTTGGTACCAAGAGCATACCCTTTGGGGATATGTTTCCTGGGTCCAACTCTATATTCTTAATTTCCCCAAGCCTTGGTTTCTTCTGTGAAATGGGGATAATAGTGGTAACATGACTCATGGACTTGTGAAGATTAAATGAGTGTTTGGAACCTGGCACCCGGTAACCCCTCAACTGGCTGCTACTGGTATTTGATGCCCTGATGATGAGGATGAGCCTGTGTAGGAGTTAAGTCTAGGGTGGGTGGGGGGCGAGTTAGTGGGGGGCATTTCCTCTCATTGGTAATGAGATTAAAAATTGGTCAGTAATGTAGAGTAAGCCCCTTGAAAACTCTCCTAGGGCTGGGCCACTAAGGAAAACAGTAAAAGTATGCACAAAACCAGGCATTAGTTTTCTGTTGCTTCCATAAAAAATTCCTATAAATGTATTGTCTTAAACAGCACACAATTATTATCTCACCATTTTGTGGGTCAGAAGTCCAAGAACAGTCCCCCTGCGCCAACAGCAAGGGTTTGGCAAGGTTGTGTGTCTCTCCCCTCCCCCCCAACCCGCAGGCTCCAGGGAGAAGCTTCCTGATTCTCAGCTTCTGGCAGTCACCCCGCTCCTTGGCACCTGGCCTCCTTCCTCCATCTTCAGAGCTAATGATGTGGCACCTTCTGATCTGCCCACAAGTGGGACATTTTTCTTGTTTTGAGGTGCATGTGGTGAGATCGGGTCCATCCAGATTATCTCATCATCTCAAGCTCCCTAGCTAAGTGGAGTCCTGTTTTGCTGTGCGTGGTCACATCTTCCCCACTTCCAGGGTGCGGGGTGTGAGCTTCTTTGAGGCAGGGTGATTCTGCCTCATGATGGACAAGTATATTCATGACAGGGTGGAGGAGTGGTGAGTGGGAAGTCAATGTTCTACAACAGTCAAATGCTTAAATGATAGAATCTACAGGTGTGGGAATCCAGGGAGCTTCTAAAAATTGTCAGAGAACGACATTGGCAATGAAAGTTGGAGGCCACTTTCCTCTGACTCATGAACCCTTCCTCTGAGGGGGAGGGAGGGAGGTGACTCACCACCTGGTGGGGACTGTGAGTGACTACTAGCCTTGCTTTGGTATCCTTTTTTGTGTTGTTTATTATAAGTATGCATTCCTATGACCCCATCTCCCCCCAGAAGTTTTAATTAAATCTTAAAGGAAAGTATATTTTATTTAACAATGGGGAAACATAAATATGTTAAATACAAATGCTAAAGTCCCAGTAAAATTTACATCATGCTATAAAAGTGCATAATTTAAAAGGCAAAGGCCATGTGAAATGTTCACTAAGCATTTGCTAATAAAAATCCTATAAAATGAGGTATGTAGTAATTACTTGAGCTGAAGTTAAGGTGCAGAAGAATGTCTTTAAATACTTGTATAGCCAACATACAAAATGCAAGGCAGTCTAATTACAATTCATCAAAATACTGGACAAGTATTATACAAGTCACATTTAAAATACAATTTTGTGAGGATATATGTATACTCTAATATTTTGCACACTCAATTTAACATTTCAAAATAATTATTACTGTATGACCCAGACATTTGCACAATTTACAACTGCTCCTAGAATACAGAGGTGTCAGTAAATAGACATAGTTATGTCTGTAGAAAGTGTATTATAAAAGAAACTTACTTTTGAAACTAACTTAACCCAGTGTCATTTTATCTGCTCAAGTGATTGTTTATTCATGCATGCAGCTATAAAACGTATTTAAAATCTTAAAGTGATCAAAGGAATTGACCAAGCACGGACTTCAGGCTTGGGAGCACAGGAGTGAAAGATGATCACTCAGTATCTGAAGCCATTCCTAACGCACAGGCAGCGAGCCGTGCTGGGTGAGGCCAGGTTCCCCAGTCTGCCCTCTGACTCATGAACCCTTGAGTCTGGAACCCCTGTATTCTAGAGCCACACAGTGCTGCAGAAAAGTCAACACCCAAATATTTGCTTTACTTTTTTTTTTAAAGATATATTTATGTATACATACAAAACTGGGTACAGGCCAGAGGTGCAGGGGCGGTAAGAGGCTTCACCAGAGACAGAGTGGGGAGCAGAACAGGCAGATGGACGAAGTCCACTGCTGAGGGGAGCAGCGGGTGGGTCAGGAGAGGTCTGCCGCGCCATGTGGTCACCTCCGGGGCAGGCGGGAATCGAACTCACCCGGAAGTGGCTTTAGCTTCTTAGTGTAGTGCTTTAACCCGCTGCGCCACCAGGGAGGGCCTTGCTTTATGTCTTAAACAAATCATTAAAAATTTGTACAAACCCAGAGTTAATTTGGTATTACTTGGACTAGGCTAGATTATGCTGCAGTAACAAAAGGGTCCCCAAACAGGCTCAGAGGACACTCGGGGCAAAAGTCCTCTGACACCAGGTAACCCAGGTCATTTAACTCTAGTGATGTAGCCTCCTCCCCCAAGAGGGCTCTGTTTTCCATTATAGGTATTTGGGGCACTCAGCTTTCGGTGGTGGCCCCCACCCACCATGGCCCCACCCACCGTGCCCCCCAGCTTCTCACTTTTGCTCACAGCAGATGTGGAAACTAATCAGTGAATCCACCAAGGGGAAGTAGTGGTTTCCACTTGTCTGAAAAGAGGAAAACCAGCTATTTCTGAGAGATACTAATATTTAACCACACATACAGTTTTAGAGATGGTTTCTTTGTCCCCAGTTGAGGAATTTGGTGTCTAAACCCCGGGACAGCCAACAGAGATCGGAACTCCTGGGGACAGGTCCTCGACTCCAGCAAAAGTCTGACTTGAAGCCCTGCCTTCTGGACTGCATTTCACTATTCTTCAAAATGGAGGCTTGCCGGGGGGGAAAACCCACACCCACCCCTCTAGGCTTCCCCATAGTG